TTATAATAAAATCCCCTATCCCATCATTTTCCTTGCATTTTTCTAATCAAATAAAATTTTAAAACAATCCTTCACATCCCTCAACCTATATTACCTATGGGTATATTGTGTGACCAAAACCCAAGAGCCTTTATTTCTACCAAAAAGAAAAATTGTAACTAGAGTGGAGCACCGCCGTTGATAGTCAACTTCTAACTCCAAAAAATTTTAAATGTTTAGTCTAGTATTGAATAAGGAATTGCGGAAAGTCAGGACTAGTTGATAACCTTAATAGGAGGGTCATGGCCACATAATAGTGATTCCCATGTTGGGTTTATATGAAAATCACATTATGAATGATTTAAATCCTATCAAAATTATCAAACAGTTTTTATTTTTTATTTTTTGATCAAACCATTATAACTTACTTATTAAAATGGAATAAAATAGATATTATTGTTTATTAATTAAATTTTTTTAAAAGTAAGAAAAAATATTTTATTTAAATAACTTAATTTTAAAATATTTTTTTCTTATTTTTTAAAAATTAAATTGAATAAACACAAACTTTATATTTTAAATTATATAACAATAATTATTAACTATAATTAAATATCAACTATTCCAAACAATTCATAGAGTATTTTTTGAAGTGCGAAGCAAGCGGAGAAGGACTTTCAGTTTCAGTCCTTCAGTTTCAGTTTCCACTTGTTAAAGAATTCTGGAGTCTGGTTTTAGATTTTTCTGTTTCCCTTTTCAAGTTTCAAAAAATCAAATTCCTACTTTCCCTCATTTCCTTCCAACTTCCCTCACCATATTTTTCTGAATTTGCCATGGATTCTTCCTGGATTTCTTCACCTAACTACCCATTTCTCCCTTTCTCCACTGATTTCCTTCTCACTTGGATTCCGGTAAGCATTCTATATGCATGACAAATTCTGGGTTTTTTTTTTTTTTTTTTAATCTCTTTCATTTCTCATGACAATGGCAGTTTGAGAAAACTAGCAAAAGCTAGCAATGCTTTTGCATATTTTCTGGAAAATAGGTACTGAATAGGCACTTTAAAAGAAACACAACTGATTCTTAATGGGAAAAGGAAATGAAATTCTTACTTCAATCTTTCACCTTCCATGTCATGCCTATATCATGTTTGATGAATTTTCTTCAAGTACATTTTCTGGATGTCTGATATCATTCATCTTGTATGTTTATTGATGGGAAGTAATAAAGTATGCATTTTCAGCAGAAATTGATTGCCTTCTGTTTTGGAGGACGCAGGTCCTAGGAAGAGGAAATATTCATGGAGTCGAAGTTCAGTTTGAAGAAGGTCTGCCCAAAATTAATTCTGAGATTGGCTTGTTTCCTCCTCGTTTTGGTAATTTTCTCCATTCATTCTTCTTTCTCATTATGGGTTTTTGTTTCTTTGTAGTTAGAAATTTTCTAGTTAGAACAAGAACTAACAACTTCCAACAACTTCCCATGCATGGCAGGGAGTCTACGGTTTCTTCACTGTGCAAGTTTGTCTGGTGACCAAAGAAACGGAGAGCAGTATTGGGTGGAATTTAGATCGGGTTAACAACCGTTTGTTTTTGGGGATTCAAGAAACTGCAAGACTGCTACTTCATTTGAACTCATCAGCATTGAATTTGGCAAGATCGTTGAGTTCAATTGTAAATGGGACTGAACTATCATTTGCTGCAATTGAAAAAAAGGTTCATCAATTCCTAATTTCAGCATGTAGAAGAAGCGTATCAAAATGGAAATGAAATCTGACTCCCTTCTTATTGGCTTTTGTTTCTTTCATTTTAGATTGCACCAACATTGTTTCTAGCACTGTCAACCATCCCCCAAATATCACAGGTTTCTTTTACAGGATCGGAAGGCTTGTCATTCTCATATTACAAAGACAGGGGTCAAACACTTGCTGTGTTCTCTAATTCTTCGTCACCTTCCCACTGGTATACCAAGCTAGTGAATCCTGACACGGGCAAGTTTTATGGAAAAGCTGTGGCTTCACCTCCTAGACAACAAACAAGCTGGTTCCTTCAAGCCATAACAAGACCTAATGGGTACTCTTCACTAGGGACAGGATGGAACAAAGCTCAAGATAGGCTTTTTGTTCGTAGTGTTGCTATGGATGGAGAGGGTGTTATATCTATTGGATTCCCTGTTAAAGTGGTCGTTGATCATTTTGCAGTGTTAGATTTTCACGATGGAGATTTTTACTTGGCTACTGCAGCTGGGGATGTGATTGTGCAGTCAAGGCTTCCTAATGCTCAAATAGTTGTGAATGACAGCATAATTTCTGTTCAGACAGTAAAGCAGAATGGTCAACCCTTAAGTTATCTTGGTAATAGGTCCTGCGATAGTGGTGAAGTTAGACATTTTATGGGCAGAATTATGGGAATCAAGTACAATTTTTACTGCTCAGCTCTTGAGATTGCTGGAGTTCATTTGGTACTTACAGATCACAAGTTTTTTACTTCATCCTAACTCAATCAGATAATTTAAAGAGCTTGACCAATCCTCCTTTTTGTTGCAATTTACTTTCAGGTGTATTTATTGTCTTTTCCCAATGATGGAATAGCAGGCCTTGTCGAAAAGAACAGCAGGCTGTCAGTCCTGTTTCTTGTGCTAATGTTTATTTCTGTTGTTATCTCATTTATTGTCTTCCTTTTCTTCATTATTAGAGCTGCAAGACGAGAAATGTTCTTGTGTGCAGCCTTTGTAAAGCAATTGAATGCGACACAACAGGCAGAGCGCAAGAGCATGTTCAAAACTAGGGCCTACACAAGGGCAAATCATGATGTTTGTGGTTCTTTGGCAGTAATTTCTGGTTGGCTAGAGCTTTGTCACAATGATGCCGAGTCAAATTCCGAGTTAGCATCAAATTTGGAACTCTTAAAGGCTTGTACAAGGGACCTCCTAGGTCAGTTTATCTCCTTTTTCCTTTTCCTTTAGAATGTATCAAAACCAGAATTAGACAACCAACTTTTGACAAAATTCATAATAAGTTCATTAGTGATTAATATGGACTTCTAAGTGGCGTGAAATTGACAAGATATTTTTGAATCAGATATATTGAATTCAGCTCTAAAGATCAGTAAAATTGAAGCTGGAAAAATGGATCTAGAAGAAGAAGAATTCAACCTGGCTCAACTCCTTGAGGATGTTGTTGATATGTTTTATCCTGCCGGTATAAAGAAACTTGTTGATATCGTGCTTGATCCTTGTGATGGTTCCATTCTCAAATTCCCTATTGTGAAAGGTGATCGTGTAAAGCTCAAGCAGATTTTATGCAACCTACTCAGCAATGCTATCAAGCATACATTTGAAGGTCACATCTCTGTTCGTGCGATTGTCAAGAAAAAGAGTTTTGAAAAAGACATTATATCTTATAATAGGAATAGGTGTTTGTCATGGCTGTTTTGCAAGGACAAGGAGCACCTGGATGATTTAAATGCTCTTCATAAAGCTGAACATGATCCCAACAAAATGGAGTTTGAATTTGAGGTTGATGATACTGGTGTGGGAATTCCCAAAGACAAGCAAGAATCAATTTTTGAAGAATATTTTCAGGTGAAGGAAACAAATCCGGGAGAAGAAGAAGGCTGTGGATTGGGACTAGGCATTGTTCAGTCCATTGTAAGTGATTCAGTAGCTAAGCATATCTGAAACCCTAACCTCTAGCTTAATCTTATGAATCATATTTTTGCACTTAATCATTTAAACAATTGAAAATTTCAGGTACGTCTAATGGATGGAGAGATAAGAATTGTTGGGAAAGGTGCTGAAGAGAAGGGAACTTGCTTTAGGTTCAGTGTTCTACTCACCACATGCCAACCTGAGTCAGATGACACTGAAGAAGACTCTGCAAGAGTAAATTATCAGCATCTTTCATTTATGAGAAATCTTGCCGCATACAAACCGGAGGGATCTCATGTGATGCTGTATATAACTGGCGAAGAACGAAGAAGAGTTCTGAAGAGGTATTTTGAGAGCTTAAGTATAAAGGTGACAATAATAACACAAGAGAAAAGTCTCTACCGACAGCTTGAAATGATAAAACAGAAGTTGGATCCTTCTCATCATGTTCCCTCAAGAGATTCTGGTTCATCGATTAATGATGCACAAAGCATCAGAGATGGAAATGACAACATTTTGCTGAACCTCAGAAAGTCCAATTCCAGAAGTTCAAGTTTGATGCTGATAGTAATTGATTCCTGTGCTGGCAATTTTGGTGAATTATGTTCTGCTGTCTCTGACTTCAAGAAAGACATTCCCAACCACTTGTGTAAGATTGTCTGGTTGGATAATCCTGTCACACGTTCAACCGAGGTTCAAGCAATGAGGATTACACCTCCTTGTGATTGTGTTATGAACAAACCCTTTCATGGATCACGTTTAATTCAAGTACTGAAACTGCTTGCTGAGCGTAAGGCCACCTCTCAACGCAACTTCCCAAGTTTATCACATGGAGCAACAGCTCAAGAGGCTCTGCCTTCTGTTGTGAAGAACAGTCCATCTGGGTTAAGCAGCTTGGAGCCTGAGCTTGGGGTTGCTTCTTCATCCCAAGAAACTGCATTGCAGCAGATAGTGATACAGGAGGCTGATGAAAAAAGCATTGAGAAACCATTGTCTAGGAAGAAAATTCTGGTTGTTGAAGACACACTGGTAGTGCAGAAATTGACAGTTGCTTGCCTCCGCAAACTAGGAGCAGATGTTGAAGCCTGTGCAAATGGAAAAGAGGCCTTCGATAAAATCTGCAACATTTTAAGAGATCAAAAGGAGAGAGGATCTCAGCAATTTCTGCCTTATGACTGTATCCTCATGGATTGTGAGGTAATTTTACTTTACATGCATTCTCTTCTGCTTTACATCCTCATTAAGGATACCCTGAGGAATTTTAGGTTAGAAAGCCATGCATCTGAAGTATACAATTGAATAGAGTAATTTGTTTATCCTAAACATACCGTTGTCCTTTCTCCTTTTCAGATGCCAGTACTGAATGGATATGAGGCAACGAGACTGATAAGAAGGGAGGAACAACTTTATGGAATCCGAATTCCGATTATTGCATTAACTACTTCTGATGATGGAACAAAGATTACTGAGGCCGGAATGGATTTTCACTTAATTAAGCCATTGAAAGCTGACAAGTTTCTGGAACTCGTCCAAATTTTAGAGCCAAGTGCATCATTCTGATAGGTTAATTCATTTTTCCCATCTCATTTTCACCAAACAGCGTCAATAAATATTTTGATTTTCATTGTTTCCAAAATATGCACGCAATGAGAAGGAATGCAGAGATCTTTCATAAAATAATCTACATTATCGAGGCTCTGTTTAGAATTTGAACTTGTTTGGTTTTAGTTTTGCTATCAAAATTGACAACTGAAATAGACAACTTGATTACAAATTTTGAAAACCAAAACCAAAATTTTCAACAACTAAAACTAATATCCAGAAGCAGCCTAAATTGCAAGTTTCCAGCTTCCAGACTTTTCGAGATTAGAGATTAAAGCAACGATTGCATGAAAGATAGATGATATGTATATCGTTCCATCCAAGTCAGAGACAATCAAACTGCAACTGCCACATAGATCTCTGTAATTGTTCGTTGCCCTCACTTCAAGCCAACTAGAATTTTAAGGATAACGTAATTACCATTTCCAAGTACGTCGAACCCATTGGCTAAACACACCTGGGCTTCCCTCCACCATTTACACAGACACTTGAACTTTGGAGAAACGGTAATGAGACTCAACAGGGGCAACCATCAATGCACAGAGATATTCATTATTTACCATGTCTTAAGGAGATGTTATTCATAATCAACTTGAGAAAAGGGAACGGAAATCGGAGATACAATTTTGAATTACTAGGGAAACAAATATCCTATGATTATGCTTATATAACAGAAGATAATTTTCCCAAAACCCTCCTCCAATCAGGTTCAAACTTGAGATCTTTGCTTTGTAATGAGGATCACTCTGGCCTAGTTCAAGAAAAGAGAAGGAAAACAACTACCAAACATAATTCTTTACAGAATTAAGAACATGCAAACCTCTTCAAAAATTAGATTAGAGCCGAAATAAAAGTAGAAAAAAGGGACAGAGTATGAAGGCAAATAAGAAAAATTTGCAAATAAGATAACCAAAATATTTTATAAATCTAGCCATAGAAGAAAAATGTGCTCTTGATTCTAAAGGGGTTCGTACAGTTAAATCTGCCAGACAGTTTTAGCATTCAGATAAAAATTTTTGTGAGCTTAATTGCCTTTTTATCATCAGACAAAATAATGGTAAGCAAATCTTCACAGCGCTCTTTCCTCACAGCTCATCCTGCAGAGATAAAGCAGAAAATTTAATTTATTCATCAACATGAGTTAAAGAGTAATTTAATGAATTCCTGAAAATAAGAAAATAACTTACATGTACATCTTCCTTGGTCTCAGCACTGTCTTCACTTTCGTCTGATTTTGTTTCAGAATCAGAATCTTCTTCAGCATCATCAGCATCGTCTCCATCCTCAACCTGTGGAGATGAGTTGAATTGACATGGTTAAAACCAGAGCCATAGCACACAACTTTAACTAATTAACAACACAGTATCTCAATGGCTTACATCAGAGTCAACTTCATCCTTAGATTCCTGACAAAAACAAAGTCACAAGTCAGAAAAGATACAGAACCACAGCCTCGGTTGCAGATCACATAAAAGACAAGTGAAAAAAGCACACATTGGACATCAGTTATAGACTATTATTAGTTCACATTCAAGAAGGCAACTTATCAATTCCTCCTCAATTCATCAAAAAATCTTTCTCCCTTGGATAATCTCAAAAGTTCAACTGCCCTAAAAAAATTCAATAATTCAAACAACAAGCAAGTACCTCCTCCTCTCTTTTCTTCTCCTCCTCTTCAAATGCAGCCTTCTCAGCCTGCAAAATCCAACATTGTAGTCAATCACACAGACAAGGACTACATCAAGGTCAAAATAGTAATACAGGAGAAGAGGTGCATACATCCTTAGTCTTCCCCCATGTTTCTTCAGCAAACTTCTTGGCATACTCAGGGTCATCGCAAATCAAGACATTGTTAAACAATGTACCAGCTTTCACCTGACACAACATGTTTATTCCTTGTTAGTATCTGAGCTGCATGGGAATAAAAAACAGCAGTGAGGAGAAATCAAACTGAGGAAATTACCTGCCACAATTCAATACCAACATACTTCAACTTGGGGTAAACATAAATATCAGGGTCATCCTTGAAGTCTGTAAAAAGTTCAAAATAACATCATTATATGATTATGTTAAACTTAACTTCATGACGTCAAAGTGCAAAGGCATGAAGTCAAAACAAAAACAAACCTGGGTTGTCAATCATTGGTGTCTTCCACTTTCCCTTGTAGTTGGGGTTCTTAATTTTCTGCAGAGACAAAGGTATGGTGATGCACATGAATAATTCCAAATCACAACATCAACCTGCAACAAGACATGATTCCACAAACCTTTGGCTTCCATGGGCCCTTGTACTCAGGGTTGGGAATGGTTGGGGGAGTCCACTCACCATCCTCCTCATCATCCCAATCTTCTGGCTGTGGTTAAATACCAGACTAATCAACTCCAATTTCTTTCAGACAAGGCACAATATCCAAATATAGAAAACAAATTGACTACCTTCTTGGCATCAGGATCTGGGATCTCTTTTGGAATGTCATCATACCCCTATAAGCACACAAAAATAGTCCGCTTATATTTGCAGCTTCAGACAGAAAATTAAAATCCAGCATGAGACAAAGGAGGGTAGGGGAAATGAGGAGATAATTACCTCTGGCTTCTTGTCTTCAGGATCAGGGATGTATTCTTTGTCATCCCAATCTTCAGGCTGCAAATATTAGAGTATAGTTAAGCTACAGAAAAATTAAAAGTTCAAGAAGCATTTCAGAAAGATACTGGTGAATGTTTTGAGGTATGAGTAATTGCCTTTTTGGCCTCGGGATCTTTGATTGTCTTTGGAGGAAGAAGATCCCAATCAGAATACAGACTACCAGATTGTTTCTCTTCATTGTCAATAAGGATACTGTAGGTAGCATCAGGGTGGAGGATGAATGTATAAACATGAGTAAGTTGGTCAGTCTCACAAGGAACTTCCTTCTTGATCAGGTGGTTTTTATCATTGTAGTTAAGAATGGCATGCACTTTCTTGGTGCTGTAGCCACAAATATCTGGTCCAAACATAATACTGCAGCCAGCAACATGATAAGAACACATCAATTTGTTGTGAAGGATAAACTATTCTGGAAGCAACTACATTAGCCCACAAAGGGATACATACCTATATGGGGTATCGCCACCAAATTTCTTCTGGTCAATATCGCCACTAAGCAACTTCATGTAGCCACCACCACAGTCAAGCTTCTGTTCATGCTTGACAGAAAATTGGAAGACAAGAGTCTTGTCCTTGTTGTTGAATTCAGGGAACTCAGCTGAAATAGCAAAGAACCTGTAGTCTTCACTAGTTTGGATACCTGAACAAAGAAGGAAAGCTCATGACTAACTACACACTTAAAAGAAAAGCTTATTGTTACTTAATAGCTCAAAGGGATAAATAGCGGCAATTGGCTAGATGGGAACCTTTGTCATTAGGGTCTCCATTCCATTTGCCAGCTGTGTAGTTCCACTCCCCAGCCATGTTCTCATCTTTCTTCCAATCAGATTTAACCCACCGGTTTTCCCATCCATCTACAATTTCACAACGTTATGCAAGTCCAGTCAGAAATAAGCATTTTGTCTAGAAAACAATATTTAATCCAGTACCAGCTTTTTTTTCTAAGACAGTTTTTCACTCCAAGGTATTGAAAGTTACAAAAAAAAAGAAAAAAAGAAAAAAAAAGAGGAGGATACAGTGCTAAAGAACTCCTCGCACATTCAATATCTAAAACGTAGCTGAATCATGAATCAATCTACATTTCTAAAAATACACAGATGCCAGCTCATTTCTTTTCCCATTGCTAAATGAAGATAAAATTGTACCAAAAATTTACCACTACACCAAGAACAATCCACTAGTTTGTGGAGAAATTAAGAAGTTACAAGTAAAGGATCATAGCAACAACACAAGTAAAAAGCAAGCCATGCAGCAGTTTTCTCTGATCATCTTCCACAAAATACAGATAAAAAAAAAAAAAACACTACTCATTTGACCTTCATTGCTTCATCCAATAAACAGCATTTCCAAAAATAAATGCAACAGTATAACAAAAAGATTAAACATCTAACTACATAGATCAGATAGTATCAACAGATCTAATAGAATTACTCGCATTTCAAACGCACTTAAGAATTTCCAACTCAGCATCCGATCAGAAACCACCAATTGCAAAATTTTTAAACGGAAACCACGATCCTCACCATAGTTAACAAAAGCGAAGCTCTAAAACAATCAAAATGCAATCAAATTCCAAAACCTAAACGGATCCAAGATCTACAACTCTTTACAGTTACGTAATGCATGCATCAGGAGCGAGAATCGGCGATTGTGTTACCTTGGAAGCGTTCTTCGAAGATGACGGCTGCAGAGGCGACCGCGACGAGGGAGAGAAGGATTAGAGAGAGGAAGTTGCGGCTTAGATTGATCTTCGCCATGGCTAGAGAGGAAGGAGGAGAGCTGCAGACTGAGGATAGTGAGGGGGGGCGTTCATATAAAGCAGTATACTTCTCTGGTTTTCACGGCATGGTAAATCTAACGCCGTTAATCTGACGTGGACACGACGTGATGACGATTTCGAATAGGGGACTGACATGTCAGCGGTTATTGTCATAGGTGTTGACGTGGCGTGGAGGGATTGGTTAACTCCACGAATCTTTGAGGTTTCCCGTACATGTGACACGTTGGCAAACTTGTCCACTTGTATAACCGGGGTAATGGAATATACTCATTTGCGTCAGAAGTGATTGACACGTGGCACAATTTGGGAGGACCTTAGAAGAACGATGTGGGTCCCAGTTGTGCAAGTTGATAAATTTTTTTTTTTTTAATTTTTACTTAAAAATTTTGATATTGTTTTGATTAATCTCTCCTATTTAGCTTAGTAACATGACACTTTAAATTTGGTTTTATGCTGATCATTAATATTAATTATTTCTTAAATATATAATTATAATTTAATTACCTTGTTGAAAAAAATTTCCTTACCTAGAAACATCCATTGAATTATATTTTTAATTCTAAGATATCATCTTCAAGATATGGTACTATATCCAGCTTCTACTTCTTTTTTTAAGTCTATAATTCAAATGCAATTCAATCCACCTAAAAGCAACTCCACCAAAACGAAAAAAAAAAAAAAAAAAAAAAAAAAAAAAAAAAAAAAAAAAAGCAATTCCATTTATTCATAGTTTCCTTAGGACATTGTCGGTTTTTTTTTTTTTTTTTGCCAAAAATGTGATTAATTAAAATTAAAAATTAAAAATTGACAGCTTGTTAAGTACAAAATTTTAAAATTAATAGTCAAGATTAAAATTCTATTAAGTTATTAATTTTTTAAAAATTTAATTTAACAATATGTGATTTTTGTAACAATAAATCAAATTCAAAATTGAAACCACAAACATTACTAAGACTCTATTTGGTATGATTATAATTTTTGTTTCATTTTTAGTTTTCATAAATTTTACAAATACTAAAAACTAAATTAAAAATAAAAACTAACAATTTGTTCAAGAAAAATTTTAATATTAACAACAAAAAATATATATTTGTTTAACAATTGTAAAATTATTTTTTTATTTCACTAGTAATCATGATAATATGTTAACAAATAAAAATATAAAATATAAAACTACAACTACTCTAAATAAAGCCTAAATATACTCTTCTAACGTATTTGATTTGAAGGAAACCAAAATGATATAAGGAAAATTTTAACTATTAACTTGTTTTCCATTCCTTCTATTTCTCTAAAACTAAACAAACTATTAACATTTCTTTATTAAGAATAGCAATGAAGAGGGCATAGGAGGTGAGAGATGGAAAACAGAAATGAGGCTCAAGCCTTGAAGGCTTTGAACACAGGCACCGCCCCCACACTTATGGCGTGCGTGGTCTTTAAAGAGGTATGTTTTATTTATTTATTTATTAATATCCTAGTATCCGGTAATTATATTGAGTTTCGATTAATCTGGAATTAAATTATGTCAGACTCCATTTGAGGGAAAACTCTCCCAGCGCCTCTTTTTTCATTTATAAGACTTGAATTCAATATCTTATTTAAGAAAAATCGAACTTTTTTCACTCAGACCAACAGGTCATTGATCTTTAAAAAAGCATGGATTTTGGGGGAAGTCTTCAACAAGAAAACAACTCGGTTTTCAGGCTTATGGTATGGATTATAATTTGTCACGAAAGATTAAAAAGTGAATATGTTTGGTTGTAATTAGTTACTTAAAAACATAATCCTTTATGATAGAGGAAGTAATTTCCTGATAAAACATTAATTGATAATTAGAAGTATGTAATATAGTCCTTTATTTTTTATTTGAAGCAATTATAATTAATCAAACTTTTTATATCAACTGTATTTTACATTTAGGAACGTAAAAAAAAAAATCATGTTTATTTTTTACTTTTTTTGTTTGATACAAAATTGAGAGCTTCACTTGGGGACACTTATTTACCATACAAAGTTACAATGTTTTTTTGAACCTCAATTATAAAATTTTATGCTCAACTCTAAGTCTCTAATCCAAATATCATAATACTTAATTTTAATTCAACCTAATTACAATTTTACTTGGAGAGAAATAAGAGAAGTGCTATATACCTTAAGTGTGAGACTCTAAGGGGGTGTTTGTTTCAGTTATTAGAAAATAGTTATCAGTTGTTGTTTTAATTGAATGGTTCAAATATTTAAAATTATAAATAATAATGATTATTAAACATTGAATATTAACTATTAGTTATTAACTATATCAAAATAGTTAATCCAAATAACCCTTAAGTAATAAGTATACAAATGCTCCTCTCTTGATCAGTTACTTGCAATTTTTTTAATTGATTAAGGACCTGTTTGGTACAGCGGTTAAAATTCAATGGATAGTAAGTAGCAGATAGTGGTAGTGAGTAATGGGTGGCGGTTAGCAGATAGCGGATGACGGATAGCGGAAAGTGGGTAGCGGATGGTAAATAGTGGATTCGATAAATATAGTTGTTTGATTGTACAATAATTAGCGGTTGTTGTTTAACATTAAATAACTAATAACGACATGTTTAAAAATAAATAAATATATATTTTAAAATATTTTTATTTTTTATTATTAAAATTATTAATTTTATAAATATAATAAAATAAATAAATAAAAAAATTAAAATGGATAGATTTGCTAATAAAATTAAAAAATTTTAATCTGCTAACGGTTTGGTATAAAAAGTTATATAAATTAATTTTTTCAATGTGCTAGCGATTTAGACCCTAATCGCTATCCGTTAGTCTCAAACTGCTAAATAAAAATTTTATCAAATACTTTATTTGTAATGGTTTTAAAATATATAAATTTACTAAATAGATATATTTAACAGTTTAAATAAAATCACTAACCATTACTCCAAAGCTACTATAGCAAATAAGTCCTAAATTTTAAAAACTACCACCAGACCAATTAAGGCCCAAGTACAAACTGCAAACATTACTCAGATGAAATATATTGTGCAAATTTCATAAACAAGTACGTCATGATTCATGAGAAACAGAAAAAAAAATATTATTGATCCATCGAGTCAACAAATATGAAAAGTGCTTTAAGAAATTCATGGGATTAGGTTATATGATAATTTTGGATCAAAATCCTTTGAAAAAAAAAAACAAAAGTAATTACAATAAGGGAATAGAGGAATGTACTTGAACTCATAACTTACTAAAATTCAACCATAAATGGTGAATTGAATGATATACAACTGAAACGTAAAATCTTTTATTTTTATTAAAATGATATTGTGAAAATGCGCAAGTAAAACTTGAAGTCTGATATTATATGAAAATTGTATATACGGATTCAATACAAAATTTATATCTAATTTAAAATCAATTGATAATAGGTGAAGTGACATTCTTTATATTTAACACATAAATTTTTTCATTATTTATTTGATTTGGATGTTCCACTGAACAGATATAACTACTTAGTTTATAGTCCAAGTCATTACCAATGCCGAATCAAAACGTAAAAGAAAAGTGCTACCTGCACCCGGCATGGACCTAAGTGCATATGCATTCCTCTTTTCATTAGTTAACTTTGTTTTTTATTTTTCCTTTCTAATTTTTTTAAACAAAATTTCACTCAAGTCAATCACAGTTTGAGTGCAAGCTACAGCTAACATTTCTCAACTTAAAATTTAATTAATAGAAATTAGATTATCATTAGGTGAACAATAAGCACATAAATTTGGATGATCTTGTAATTAAACTTTTACAATTCTAATTGATTATTTTTGGCAGAGAGAAAAAAAAGAGAAGAAATTAGACATAGTTTTGGATGATGCTAATTGCTAAATGAGAAGTCCAATGCATAAGATAATTTTTTGGCAGGCCATGGAGTATTATCTTATCCATAAAATGTTCGAGAGTGGAAATGGACTGGCATTTTAATCTTAATCCGTGGTTAGCCGATTTTAAACTTGAAGCTTTGAACTACTTTAATTGGAAGTCACTCCAAACTCAGTGCAGAACATGAGTACATTCTTTTGGCAGTTTTTCAATGATTTGTGTTCCTGTCGGCCAAAAGGAAAAAAAAGAAAAAAAAGAAAAAAAAAAAAGGAAAGAAGAAAAAAGAAAAGATTTCTGTTCCTTGAATAGTTCCTTTCTTGGTTTTTTTTTTTTTTTTGATAAAATCAAGTGCGCACACAATTAATAAAATTGTTCAGAGTCAAGGGTTTCTTGTTGTGATGTGCATGAACATGATGCATCGATTTCCAATTCATCATTGACACTAATTAAGAACAAAAAAAAATTAATAATAATGAAATTTTGAAGGCTTGCCCGAGTATTCAAAATTATACAAATATTGGGAAAAATATGGTTTATAAACTTAAAATATATTTATTTGAAGCAAAGCCAAGGTTTTTTTTTCTTTTTTTTTTTTCTCTTTTTTTTTTTCTTTTTTTTTTCTTTACATTTCGGTGCAGTTAAGGAAGAGAGGCTAAGAGCTCTACTGATTGTACTTAACAACTAAACTACTGAACATGTACGCTAGTGTTGGCTCCTGGAAAAGGTGAACTGATGGGATTTAGAGCAGTTTGAAGAGCAATCCCCCGTGAGCCGCGAAGAATGGGGCGAACACCAAAGATTCAACTGCCATGAGCTTGATCAAGATGTTGAGGGAAGGGCCGGAAGTGTCCTTCAGAGGGTCTCCAATTGTGTCACCAATGACTGCAGCTTTGTGAGGATCTGAACCCTTTGGACCTAAAGATCTGGCATGTTCGCTTGCACCAGCCTGTGGAAAGTAACCACATAGTAAAAAATTCTGAGAATTTAGTACTGGAAAACAGGAATTTAAGCAGAAATGAGAATGGAAACTGATGCTGAACTTGTACCTCTATGTATTTCTTGGCATTGTCCCAGGCTCCTCCTGTGTTGGAAGCTGAGATGGCAACCTGGGAAAGAAAAATAGATACAAGGTTGATTGAGTTAGGAAACATCTTAATTAGATTAGTTAGGAAAGGACAGTGAATGCCAAACAATGCTGGGGATGAGTATATGTGAATTATCAATATGAGTATATGTGAATTATCAATGTAGCAGCAAATGCTGAACTATGTACATTAGGAATGAAAAATACTAGGAGGGGGGTTGAACTGAATGGTGATAGAATACCTGGACACCAGAAACAAGTGAACCAGCAAGAACACCAGCTAGAGTTTCAACTCCAAAGAAGGTACCAGCAATGAGTGGTGTGAGCATGACCAGAGCTCCAGGAGGGATCATCTCCCTAAGTGAAGCATCAGTTGAAATCTTGACACAGTTTGCATAGTCAGGTTTTACCCTGCCTTCCATTAGCCCTGGGATAGAATTGAATTGCCGGCGAACCTCTTCAACCATTTTGAGAGCTGCCTTTCCCACACTCTTCATTGTCATGGCTGAAAACCAGTAGGGAAGCATGGCTCCAACAATCAGCCCAATGAAGACTTTTGGAGTCAATACATCAACAGCCTTGATGCCTGCTCTGCTTACATAGGCACCAAATAAAGCAAGTGAAACAAGGGCTGCTGATCCAATAGCGAAACCCTGGGATAAAAAGATTACCATGTCAAAATCTTTCATTGTTTTAAGAGTACAAGGAACCACTATTGCATTTGGAGGAAAAAGTTATAAATCAGAGTGGAAGAAATTCACCTTGCCAATGGCAGCAGTGGTGTTTCCTGCAGCATCTAAAGCATCTGTTCTTTCGCGTATCTTGTGACTCATTCCAGCCATTTCTGCTATACCACCAGCATTGTCACTGATGGGACCATAAGCATCAATTGCAAGGCCAGTGGCAATGGTACTAAGCATCCCTAAAGCAGCCACAGCAATTCCATACATAGCAGCCAGGCTAAAGCTAACATAAATTGCAATGGCAATGGCAAAGATGGGGATAATGACAGATTTGTATCCCAGAGCCAAGCCAAATATCACATTTGTTGCAGCACCAGTCCTACAAGAATCTGCTACATCCTGCACCGGGCTGCAAGAATTTGTACAGGATAATTAGCACTAAAAATGCAGGATGTTGAATCTAATACTTTGTTTGGGTGAACGTCCAAAGGTGTCTATGAATATTGAAAATATCCAAAAAAGAGTTGATGAAAGTCCTTTCCTAGATAATTATTGAACTAAGGCATTATGACATACAAAAACCAGGGTAATCACATAGCTTTGTTTGGATACCAGTTGGCTTAGAAGAAACCAAAACAGGAAAATAAAATTACAGACAATAAAAGCAAAATAAATAAATAAATAAATAAATAAAAAGCTAAGAAACAGAAAAATGAATAGATAGCACACCTGTAAGCATTGCTAGTGTAGTATTCTGTAGTGTATCCAATGACAAGTCCAGCCCACAAGCCAATTGCAACACAGAAGAAAAGGTGCCTGTAATTGCATATAACAAGATCTAGTCATACTATTTGAGGAGGATTGGGAATACAAAATGATGAGAAGTGCGTTTGGATGTGGCTGCATACCAGTTCTTTACAGCTTTTTCGGTCCCAAAATTGAAGAGAGAGAATTCTGATGGCAGAGCAAAGAAGCTAACAATTGCAATCCCAGCAGTCATCAGAATAGTTGAGATAAGGAGTTGTCTCTTCAAAGCTGGCTCAATTTCACTGACATGCTTAATCTCAAATAGATCAGTTGCAAAAAGTGTGGTTATCAGGCAAACCACAATCCCCATTGAGCTCACAATCAAGGGATAAGACATGGCTGTGAAGTCATGAGTGACACCAAAGGAAGATATAGATGCAACAAAAAGTGCAGCACATGATGACTCAGCATAAGAACCAAATAGATCAGAACCCATCCCTGCGATGTCTCCTACATTGTCACCCACATTATCAGCAATGACCTGGATTCAAAAACTGAGTACTGTTAGTATTCAGCTAGTGAACTTTTGGTATAAGTAGATATATCTAAATAACAGAATGAATAAGGATTTATAGGAAATTACGGCAGGGTTTCTTGGATCATCCTCGGGGATATTTTTTTCAACTTTCCCAACAAGGTCAGCACCAACATCAGCAGCTTTTGTGTATATTCCACCCCCAACTCTTCCAAAGAGAGCCATTGAAGAACCCCCAAGACCATAACCAGTAATAGACTCATAAAGCCCCTCCCAGTCATCCCCATAATACAGCTTAAATAAATTGATTGAGACAAAGAGCACCAGAAGGCCATTGGCAGCAAGAAGAAAGCCCATCACAGCACCAGAGCGAAAAGCTGTGATGAATGCCTTTCCAACACCCTTCCTGGCCTCTAGAGTTGTTCTAGCATTTGCGTAGGTTGCAATCTTCATCCCAAGAAAACCAGACAGTGTCGAAGTAATAGCTCCAAGCAAGAAAGCAACTGTACTAAATACGGCATTAGCCAGTGCTGGCTTGCAAATATTTCCCTGGCTGTATGTGCAAGGTTCACTTTTTGTGCTGAAGCCCTTAACTGAACCAAGGAAGAGGAAGATGACAACTGCAAATGCACCCATGAAGATGCCAAGGTACTTATACTCCGTGAACAGGAATGAGGTTGCTCCTGGGAACATGATACATATTAGTTAAGGATTCAGTTAAAACTTACATGAATGCATGTATAGAAATTAGAAGGGTCCAAAAACAGTATTGCTTATTGAATTTTACTACCAAAACTAGCAGGACCAACATATGCAGCATCTATATACAGTATACCCAACCATATGTGGATGGCTAATTCTTCAAAGTTCAAACACATACATAATATCCAGAATTTTCAATATGATCATTATGGCAGAAATTTATTAATTTTTCCATATGCAGAAACTGAAGCTCATAAAGCAAATCCAAGGCTGGACATATAGAGAGATAAAATTCAGAAAATAAGAGGCAGAAGGAAAAAATCTGCAGAGTTTTTTTTCTTTGAGGGGTAAGCCAAAAAATTTTATTCCCATTGGTACAAGGGTACCCAAACCCATTAACATTCCTAAAAAAAAAAAAAAAAGGCAAAGGAAAAGAGGTAAAATTTAGAAGCTTCTATCAATTTCTGAAGCCTAATAAGAAAGCAACGGCTCCAAAGTATATAGTCTTAAAAATTCATTTTGTAAATGAACATCTGAAAATCAAGAATTACCCAAGATAGAAACAAGAACCAACAAAGAAATACCTTAGTCTTTATAAATTATAACTATGACATATGTTATTAGCCTATATCTTTTCCCTGTTTCTGTTTTGGATGGCTCCGGTGATTTTCGTTTTGGATGACACCAGCAAAAAAAGTAAAAATAAATGATCTCATGGGAGATTTTTGGACACAAGACAATGAAAAAAGGGTAAGGAAAAAGGCAGACCTCAAACCATGATCAAGAATCACAAAAGCAAACATCAGGGAATGAGAGAAATTAGAGAGAAGTAGAGATTACCAACAGAAATGGCATTCTGAATCTCAGCACACTTGCTAGCAACCTCATGATAATCAACCCCCTCTTCTTCTTCTTCAAGCAGCTTGTCTTTCATCCCATTGCTTGAATCTTTCGAGACGTTAACCCTTGAGACCATAAACCATTGAATCAAAGCAAAGCCAATGCCCACCACGGCAGCTACAGGTATCAGAATCAGCGTGACTTCCTCACTCAAGGCAGTCATCTCCACAAGCAGATTCAGAACACACAACTCACTGGGGTTCTTGGCTTATCCTAACAACTATATAGCAGGCAGAAAACAGATGGGTTTTTAAAGCACAGTATCCAAGAGCTGCACTGAAGATGATAAAGTGCATTACAAAAAAGCTATCTTTTAAGAGGCCATGCAGGGAAGGTGGGTTTTTGGAATCATATTCTCAAACTGGTTGTTTTGAATGACAGATAGGACAGGATATGGGTCTTCTTCAATCCTGTGATTTCTGCCCAAGGTTTTGTACCTCCCCTTACTCCTTATCCTCTGTCCTCCATTCACATTCACTTCGTGGGGCACATTTTGTCCTGATGTGGATAAAGTCGCCAAATCAACATTTCATTTGCCAAGGACAAGAAACGTGATATTTTTCATTATCATTTACCTAAGATTGTGGCTCAAAATTAACACGTCTTCTGTTTACGAAACATAGAGTTTATACAGAGATTAAAAGGAAGATTCTTGGGAAATTACGTTCTTAATCAAATTCAATTTTGTTTTGTGAAACAAGGGGTGCGGAGTAAACATTTTGCAATTGAATACCTCAGCAATAGTTGACCTGATGTTTCTGGATGCTGCAAATGCAATTTAAAATTTATGAATACTTGTCTTACAAGCACAAAATGCACGTTAACAAGTCCCATTCAATCTGATTAAGTTTTACGTCAAATTGAAGTTTTGGACATTTTAATATGGAATTCTGGTGAATTTGCACATGGGGTTTTCATCAGACCCTTAGTTATGACTTGCCAAGCCACTTGCAATAAAAAATAAAGTAGAACCTTAAAAAAAAAAAGAGAGGAAAGAAAAAGAAAAAACTTGTCCTAGACATTTAGCTTCAATTTTAAATAAATTTTTTTTTAATTTTTATTTTTAAAATATAAGTTGAGGGTGCATTTTTTTTAATAAATTTATATAAAAATATATAAAAATAAATATTAATTTTAAAATTAATATTATG